AGATTGGCTGTTGGGGTGCCCCCCGTGGGGCCACACCCCCTCACGGGAAGCAGGAAGCAGCCGAGCGCGTCCTCGCAGAACTGAATAGCAGGAAGTCTCTCCATTTACACAAAGGACGTTGGCAGACGTGCGCGGTAGCCCCAAACCAGGCTGCCGCGGCCCTGCCGGGTCCTGAGTCCTGCACCCGCTCCTCTCACACGCCGCGCCCCTGCAGGCTGCAGGGGCACACTTAAGCAGGGTGGGGCAGGACGGGGCGGCACTGCCACCGCCACCTCCAGTTCCCACGGGGCTCAGCCCTGTCCTCCGTCGCTCAGACCCCGTGCAGAGCCCCCTAGCAGGCACCCGTCTCTGCCGCAGCCTCCCATCAACACCCCCCGCCGTTCTGACTCGGCCATCTCCGTCCGCTCTCTGCACTCCGAGTCCAGCATGTCCCTGCGGTCCACGTTCTCGCTGCCTGAGGAGGAGGAGGAGCTGGTAGGTGTGGCAGGCCAGAGCAGAAAGCCCTCGCGGGGCTGCCTGCTCCTGGGGGCCAGCCCGGCTCACGGTGACAGGGTCAGGCCTGGTCAGGGCCTCCTCCTCCCTGGTCTGTGTTGGGCACTGACGAGGCCAGCTGGGACCCCCCACGCATGTTCCCCAGTCCCACTTCAGGGGCGGGGGGTGGGGGCGGGGCTGAGGTTTGGGCGCCGGCACTGCCAGGTGGACACAGCCCCCTCTCCATCCCCAGAGGGCAGCCCCCGACTCGTGGGGGGGTCCCACCTGCTCAGTACCTTCACCTTCGGCCCGCCTGCACCCTGCCCTGTTCTAGGAGCCACTGGTGTTTGCTGAGCAGCCCTCGGTGAAGCTGTGCTGTCAGCTCTGCTGTGGGGTGTTCAAGGACCCAGTGATCACCACCTGTGGGGTAAGGCCTTCCGCCTGGGCTGCCCCGCCCTGCCCAGCCTGCAGCCCCCAGAGGCTGGTGGGACCTTGGCAGCTGACCTGGCTTGGTCTGCAGCAGGCATGGGGTGGGGTGAGGCCCTGGCTGCCTCTGGCCTGGCTTGGGGTGGGGGAGCCCCTGCGACTGTCCCCCAAGTCTGCCTCTTATCCCCACAGCACACCTTCTGCAGAAGATGCGCCTTGAAGTCAGGTAGGCCCCTCCTTAGAATGCCAGCCTGTGCCTCTGCTGGGCAAGGCGGGGCAGTGGGGGCCCCAGCAGACCCGGCCCCCGGCCACAACCGGCCTGCACCAGCAGGCCCGGCCCGGCCCCC